TTCAACTTTTCACACCTCGTTCTCACATTATCTTTTAACTGCCCTCCACACACGTGATTTTTCCCACCCCAGAGCGGTAACTAGGAGCGGATTTCTTGTAACCAACTATCGAATGCATATAACGTTGTTTTATTCCCTCCAATGTTCATCATGATCAAGGATGGAATAAAATCATATATGCGACAAACAGGATAAAAAGTATTCATGATGTCGAATTTGAGTAATCGAATATCATGCTCTCCGGTTAGGCCGATGAGAGAAACAGGCACTCAGCATGTCCCCGGNGTCCCCGGTAGATACTGGATAGCAGTCGTCCGATCCGCACACTAAAAACCGTGAACAGTCGTCATAAAAATACGATTTCTTATTGTCCGCCACAGCCATCCCCCAAATGTCACTTCCGTTTGTTGGTTTCCTCATGCTTTACACCTGCTCCCTAATCAGGAAACATATCCGTACGAACCCCCTTTTGTGCGAATTATCTATCCTATTATTGAGAAAGGCTACGTTCAAGCCGGTGGTGCAATCTGTATGGAGCTGTTGACCAAACAGGGCTGGTCCAGTGCGTACGATATCGAGTCAGTAATCATGCAGTTGGCCGCCACTCTCGTCAAAGGTTGTGCACGAATCAATTTTAATGCTTCCCAGGTGAGTCGAGTGTTGAATTGTGCTGACAGGAGCCGGTTCAGTCTGTGCACCATTCCTGTTCAACTTTTTTCCCTCGAGGGTGTTCGCAGTTTTTGAATTCACTTCCGCTCCGGGTAAGCTGAAACTGAAGCAATAAAGCGTTCATCAAGCGTTCATACAATCCACTGAGATGCAAATGCATTCAACTGATCTTGCCGTGGGCCGTGAAATGCTATCGTTTCTTGCACCATGTAGAGGAAGCCTCGAAATCACGCTCCCCATTTGCTGAGGTGATTTTTTTTTACTGGCTAGCTGTCTTTTCGCGTGTTTATGTCCTAGGTTGACTTTAGGGGCCAAATTGGATGGAAAAAAGACAGGAGGCTTCATGAGATGGAGTTTTACTTTACGCGTTGCTCCTTCAGTAGTTTGTGGTTGCGATACCATCCTGTGTCTGGCTCGCTGGGTCATGAATCCGCGGAAACCCTCACGCCACATGGAGCAGTCTCCTCAGAATAGACGTGTTCGATCTATTATATTGTGCTCATTTATCTCGGGAGTTGTTTCAGCTCAAGAGGACTGACGAAAGAAATGTCGGCGCGTATCCGCAAGGCTCCAATGGTCTTCGCTAATCTACGTCACTTGTGGCGCCGACGCGATCTCAGTCTCTCCTTGAAAGGCCGCGTTTACAGTACCACAATACGCTTTGTCTTACTCTACGGCTGAGAGTTGGCCCCTACACGCAGAAGACATACGGATATTATTAAGTGTCTTTGACCACTGTTGTCTTCATTGCATCGCCAGAATACGCTGGCAACGACGAGGTTCGCCGAAGAATATTCACCGCAGTCAGTCTCAGTCGTCCTCTGAGTGCCGTTATCTCACTCCAGAGACTTCGTTGACTAGCACATGAGTTGCGGACGCCGGCTGAACAACTGCCCCATCGTGTTATGTTTGCTCATGCAAACATTAACTGGAAGCGGCGACAAGATGGACAACGAATAACCTNCGACGAGGTTCGCCGAAGAATATTCACCGCAGTCAGTCACAGTCGTCCTCTGAGTGTCGTTATCTCACTCCAGAGACTTCGTTGGTCAGGACATGTGTTGCGGATGCCGGTTGAACAACTGCCCCATCGTGTTATGTTTGCTCATGCAAACATTAACTGGAAGCGGCGACAAGATGGACAACGAATAACCTGAGCTCGGACAATCAAGGCGCTAACCCCAAAACTGGCAGCGGTAGGACACTCTAGACTACCAGGTCGGGGTTCCAAGGACAGTGAGAGAACATCTATGGCTTGAGGCACTTGCAGACATGGCTGTTAACCGGCGTTAATGGCCCACCTGTTGCAGGACTTATTCGTTGATTCATATTTAAACCGTTTTCACATCTCTTTCTTCATATGTTGTGGCACATCTACCAATTGGTAACTAGTCACGAGGACCTGCTGTTCAGTCATGGAAACCGGTAACCTAAGCCCCGTGACCGGGAGTGGCGAACCACAAAAGGCCCCGATAGGTTAGGTGTGGTATTGAACCGGACGACAGCAATGCTGTCCACTACTAAAGTTGGTTGCAGTGGTGGGGTTCGAACTTCGGACCATAGGGTCCAAAGCACCGATTAAAGCATCACCACCCTACACAACTTTCAGTGGCATGTCATTCGCGCTCACGGAATAAGTGAAACGGTTTTTTTTGTCTCTGCGTGGTTTCGTGCTGATTCTAGATGAATTCCGGCTCTGATTTTGTTCAGATAATTTGGGGCTAATTTTGTCTTAGAACCGGATATGAGATTCTCAACGATCGCATGCTTCTTTGGTAGGTCATTCGATCTGCGAGACTATTTGGAATATAGGGGGAAGTAGTGGTGTTCGGTGGGCCGTTGCTATGCGGGGTGGTGATCATGGATTTGTTCGGACAAACGCCTGACTTTGGTCCACCCCACTCCTCCCGTCCATTTTCCTACCATTCCGGCTGATCGAATGACCTCGCAAAGAACATGTGATCGTTGAGATGGAATTAGCCCCCCCCTCCCCCGAATAATCTGATGCTGAGTTGCCGCTTTTCCCAAGCAATTTTCTGTGGTTGGGTACTGATCTAATGGCATGACTACGTTTGACTAGTTATTCATTTTTTCGGTCAGACAAGCACCTAGTACTGTTTCATCTGACCACGTTCACTGTTTCCGTTTTAACTTCCAGAGTCAATATTCTTTACGGCGTGCCCAGCGCACGTACCATGGAATCGTTCAAATTCACGAGAAGAAGGGTTGGTACACGCCACCTCAAGCCGATGGCTGATCCTTGTATTAATTTACAGTTCCCCACCAACCCCTCGAGGTTGTCTGTGTTTTGTCTTGTGTGTGTGTGTTTGTATGAGAGATGGAGAGTAAGTTAGCGCATGCATCACTCTGCTGGTACCCCTACGAAGAGTATTTTATTGTGCACACTCGATCCGGTCCCGTTTTTATCTTTCTTGGTGCATTTGATCACACTCGCACAAACCTCTTGTTCCTACTTGCTGACTTTTTCCCATGACTGGCGGTTCTACTCGTTTCGACTTAGGTGCGCATTTCCGTGGTTTGGGGGAGTTTGTGGCGTTTATTGTGTAAAAAATATCTTGGAGCGTAGAACCATGTTGGAGCGAAGCGCCGCAGATCCCGTATCTCGAGCACCCTTTCAAGTCTCCCCACTGTCAGCACCCATGTTTACCGACCGGTCTTCTCTGACCATTCCCTCGCCCGCCGGCTCACTAGTTTTTCTTTGCCCAACAATACTCGACTCGTTCATTTGTCGATTCTGTTTTTGTCGCGTTGTTTGCCTTCGTTCTCTCCTTCACTTCTCTTTCAGAGTAGCATCCCTACTGGGGAATTTCTACTCCAGTGTCCACCCTCATTGCATCTGTCTATTCATTAATTCGTCCTCTGGTAACTCTTGAACATTTACTTGACCCCTTCACTGCCCCCAGTGCTGTGAATCGATTACTGTTTGTTGCCCCTCCTCGGAGCATGTTTATCAGACGCATCGTGTTCGATCTCGATCCATGCCACCCGACTCGATTCACGAGCGCAGCGGATCAGTTTCCACCGCTAATGTTTCTCCATTTCCCGCTCCTTGTGTCACCGGTTCTTTCTCTGCAATTGCTCTCACGAATCTCCCACCTCACTGCCAGTTTTTTATGTGAAGTTTATTTCGAATCTGTGTTTGACAGAGGGAGAGAGTGCGATTGCTGTGTGTTCCATTGCGTGTTCCATACCTGTCCTACCTGTTTCTCGATATATATATATATATATCAATTTGCCTGTGATTAACCGTGGTTCGGTTGTTGCTGTTGCGCTCTCAATCTGGTCTTGTGTTTCTGATTGTTCGGTCGCAAACTGTGTGTTGATTTTACGCTCTTCCTCTGCCACAATCATTTACGCCCGGCAGGCGAATAAGCACGAGACCGCATCAAGCATCTTGAATGAAACACCTGTTGTGCTTGTTTGCCTATCACAATTTACCACCAATATATAGACATCGTTATTGCTATTGTTACCATTACTACAACCTTACTACTATTACTACTACCATCGATATCATTGCCACGGTCATCACATCACTACCGTTCTTATCAAACTACCTGTGACCACCACATGCACCTGTGACCATTCACTCCCAAGTCACGTGCACATACACTCAGCACACAATAACTACTTCCATCGATACTATCTATCTACCTATCTATCTCCACCCCGAACACTATTCACAAATTCAGATGTTACACATCACTTGTGTTTCCGGTTTCGTTTTTGTGCACTGAGGGAACGGTGTGTGTGCGTTTAAGGATTCTCACGTGTATTAGATCACCGGNAGAGTACTACAGGTCAATTCGCATCTGATAGCTGTGATAGAATACTAAAATCACTGTCGTTTAAATCATTATTTCTATCTGAACACACACTTTGACCTGCTTACTGTACCCTGAGAATATTGTGCGCCAGGTGATTCGACATCAAACCGGTTTGAGCTAGTTATTCACACACACGCGCAGAATTCTCCTCGTTGGGAATAAAAACTTGTCTCATGTTCATGCCAGTTGACGAAATTAGTTTGTTCCAGCCACGACAAACGAAACAAAAACGAGTGATTTTCCTTGGTAATAACCGCCGCCATTGCATCTCGCTTAGAAGACCGATCTATCAATTTGACGAATGCGATGGAGTTTGTATGAATATA